CTCGCGCGCCGCCGTCTGTGGCGACGCGCAAAACATCAACAACGCTGCTCGCAACATGCGTGTCGCGCACTCATTCATGACCGGTCTCAATGTCCCACCCCCTGCGCGCGGGCCTTCTAGGCCCGTGGGTAGTCTCACCCCATCCCCAGGGCTTGGGCTACAGTGGGTTGCGGGCATTAAGAAAACAGGATGCCGCGGCACGCCGCCGTTTCTAAGCCTTTCCACAGCCCTCTTCCACCCCACGCCGTGGTTTCTTAGCTCCGGCCGGGGCACTCAAGCCAGAGCGCCGGCCCGAAGGATTTTTTGGTAAGAGGTAAGCTGCCTGCGGTCCGCGAGCGAGGGCGGTGCCAGAGTCTGCCGCCAAGTCGGCTCTCTGGATGACGGGAAGACGCACACACGCCTCCATCCACTCCACTCAGAACACCGCAGACTTGGAAAGTGACAAGTGCGCGCCGCAGGCAGGCGAACGAAGAGAAATTTGAGCTGCGGCTCCCGTTCACACTCGTGTCTGGCCTTTTCTCGGGGCCGCGCCTGCGGCGCGCCGTGGTTTCTTAGATTTTTGCGGAAATCGCTTGGTAGGGTTTCTTAATGCGACGTTTTCTTAATGCCCGCAACCCACTGTAGAGCAGGTTTTCCGGAAAACAAAAAGGAAAACAGGGGGTCCCCAGCACTTTGCGTTTCCGGAAATTTCCAGGGAAAACAGAGGGTGTTTGGTGCTCCATTCTGGAAAGTCGCGAGTTTCCCTGAGTCTGAGAGCTGGTCTGGGGCAAAATCTGAGGCAAAATCGAGGAAATCGACAAAATACCCAGGCGGTCGCAGGGTAAGTTCCAGGTATACACGGGTTCTCCGCAAAATTCCCGGCATTTTGCCGATTTGCATTTGGCCTAAAATTTGGCTGATTTTGGGCCCAAACCAGCCTCAGACTCGGCTCAGCGCCCAAAGTTTGACGATTTCCACGGAGTTTTCCCGGGAAAATAGAGAGGAAAAGAGAGGGTGTTGTAGAGAAAAAAGGAAAGGAAAACAGACGGGGTGCGAGAGGCAAACCTGCTCTAGCCCAACCCAGGGCCTCCAGGGCTCGCACCTCAACCTCTCACAGGACCAGCGCACAGCGCCATAGGAGGTATTTTCTTCTCAATAACAAGGCTGTGAATCCGTCACGAGCCTGCGGCAAGCTCTTGATCGGTGACAAGGCGAACCCTCAGACACGAGGGTCGAGGCAGGCTGGGCAGGGCTCGTGGGCTCGGCGGCACACGGCGGATGCTGTGCTTCACTTGGGCCACAAATTTGGTTTCGTTGGCACCCTCGACCAAACCTTGCTCAAGGTTTTGGGTGCAAAGAGCGCGGCCACAAGTCACAGGGCCCGCTCGTCCATGCGACCGGCAAAGGCCTAGCAGGCAAAGGCTGGGTCAAAGAGACAAAGAGCACAAGGGACAGTACTACGACGCGCTCCATGTCAAGAACGGAATCGTCAAAATTTGTCTCGTCGAAAGCCAGGGCGGCATCGCGCCGCCGACCAAGAGAATCATCTTCAACTTCGCCAAAGAGGTCGGCAGCCCGAGCGCCGTCGACCGCACCGACGGCACAGGCAGCCTCCGGCAGCGGCCAGCGCCCGGGGCTTCGCCCAGCACCACTCGCAACAGCTCTCGCGCGCCGCCGTCTGTGGCGACGCGCAAAACATCAACAACGCTGCTCGCAACATGCGTGTCGCGCACTCATTCATGTGATGACCGGTCTCAATGTCCCACCCCCTGCGCGAGGGCCTTCTAGGCCCGCGAGTCTCACCCCATCCCCCCCAGGGCCTCCAGGGCTCGCACCTCAACCTCTCACAGACCAGCGCACAGCGCCATACGAGGTATTTTCTTCTCAATAACAAGGCTGTGAAAACAAGGTCTCTGAAGCATCCGCCGCCGCCGCCGACGCGCCGACAACTCCTGAGAAGGCAGGCATCAAATGTCGAGGACGGAGAGCATTGCTAGAAATCGTACCCCAAACTCTGTCGAGCGGGAGCTCGGTCAGGGGTGGTAGAGAGATGTAGGACCTTCCTTCGGTCCGCCTCTCACACCCTCGTCACTGTCTGCGATGTGAGCTTCTTGTTTCTTATCAACCTATCTGTGAATGAGTGCGTATATAGCGCGACTTTAGCGCGACTTTAGCGCAAATTTAGTACATATTTAGCACATATTTAGCACATATTTAGTGTGTTTTATCTCCAATTTAGCGCCACATTTAGTTCACTTTAGGTGCGGGCAGCTGCAGTACATTTAGTGTGGGTCCCGCATCTTTAGTGCGGGCACGCATCTTTAACACGTCTTCCCGGCCACACCACAGCTAGCCAGGGCCGCGTGCTTTGCTCCTTGGCTGCCAAGAATGCACCACAGGCAGGAGATGCCTCTCCCTGCTACCCCTCACCTCTCCCTGCTGCCACGGCAGCGCCACCATCGTCTGCTCGGCCGTGTCTGCCATCGCAGTAAAGTCGTTATGTTCCGGCAAACAGTTTTGCCGCTCGGCGGGCCCGGAGAAGCAGCCGGGAAAGCACCGGAGGCTGATATTTAGCTGAAAAACCTTCGTTCGGTTGGGGATGGGACGGGAAACTTTTGCGAGTGGGCAGGGGACTGCAGGGGGAGAGGGGGAGGGCCGGGAGGGAGGCCCAGCGAGGGGCTGCGGCTGGATCCTAGTGAGTGCGCGGATGGACTAAAGACGCACTAAACCTCGCTAAATCTGGATGTACAGTTGTAAAGTCGCACGCAGTGAACTCGCGCTAAAGTTGCGCTGAATTCGCGCTAAAGTTGCGCTAACTAAATTCGCGCTAAAGACTAAACTGAGAGAAACTTGAGAGAAGAGAGCACTAAAGTGTTAAAGATGCAGTACACATAAACACTTCACACCGCACTAAATTTAGACCCAGGCGCCCTCCGCCCCCCCCCCCCCCCCCCGGTGCTCTTCTTCGACACAAATACCTCGATAGCCACAGCACAGACAATCGCATGAGAAGCGAGAAAAAAGAAACACGCGCCCGTGCCGACTATGCGCAGAGCGGAGGCTCGGACGTCGCTGGTGGCTGAAAGGTGGTGATGGTGGCGAGATCTTTTTGTTTGTATTGCAATTTCTCGCATTTACTTGATATCCCGGCGCGTCCCGATAAACCGAAACGACGTGACCGTCCAACAATCGCGAGGTGGTCCCCAGTGCACACAAAAGCTTTTGCGCAAAAAGAAAAAAGAAAGAAAACAGAAACTCAAGGGAGGGATGGGAGGACGGCACGCCGCCACCACACAGGCTTTTGCGCAGCAACCCGCCGCGGCCCACGCGACATTTTTTTTTGGCACAGCACGGGGCCGACATCTGCGACATCTGGTGGCTGGGCGCTGGTGGCTGGGCGCATCTCCTCAATCGTGTACAATGCGTGCTGCTGAGGAGGACGTCGCCGCGTCTCCATTCGCCCGCCTCCCTGACGCTCTTGTTGCGCTCGTCCTCTCCCACCTCTCCGACGTCGCCTCGATCGGTCGCGCGCTCACCGTCTCGCGCGGCTTTGCAGCGGCCGGCACAGCCGATGCCCGCCTCGTCTGGGCTCGCGCCGCGGCGGCGCTGCAGTGGCGGCTTCGGCGGCGAGAGAGCGAGACGGACCGCGAGCTGTGTGTACGCGCGAACGCGCGGAGGCAGCGCATCGCAGTCTTTGGCGGAAGCTTCCGCAGTCCTCTTTACACGCACGACATGTACGACGTGGCTCGGCAGGAGTGGCTGCCCTCCCCTTTCTTGTTCACCACGTACCCCAGAGATGCCTCGGCGCTGGCGAGCGACGGCGCCACCGTGGCCCTGCTCGGAGGCTGGGGAGGCACGCGGGCGGTGCGGGCGGTGGAGGCGGCCTCGCTCACGGAAGAGGCTCGCTCGTGGAAGAGGCTGACGCCGCTCCCCCGCCGGCTCTGCTTTGGCGCGGCGCAGATGGACGCCTCGGGCCGGCTCTGGTTTGCGGGCGGAGGCGTCGAGAGCTCTGCCGCCGCCGGAGCGCTCCCGTGCCCACGGCCACACACCCACGCTGGCGTGCTGGCCGCGTATAGGCTCCTCAATCTACCGGGGCGCGCGCTGCCACGGCGAGGTGCTGCACCTCGACGGCGGGGCGTGGCGCGAGGCGGGCGAGCTCGTGTCGCCGCGGTGTGGCCTCGCCGTCGCCGCCGACGCGCGCTCCTCCTCCTTCTTCGCACTCGGCGGGTATGCAGGAGGCACGCGCTACCTCTCCACCGCCGAGGCCTTCGACACGGCGACCGGCAAGAGCACGCCGATCCCGAGCATGGGGGTTGCGCGCTCTGGCCCGGGCGCCGCCGTCGGGCCCGACGGAGCCCTGTACGTCGTGGGCGGCTCGTCGGACGGCTGTGTCTCACTGAGATCGGCGCAGACGACGCCGCGGCGCGAGCCCGCTGCGAATGCTGCGCCTGATCAGATCATTCCGAGCGCTATAGGCCGAGCGCTACGACCCGCGCGAAGGGCGGTGGGAGCCCCTCCCGCCACTGCCCACCGCACGCGGGTACTTGGGCGCGACGTTCGCGCTCGACGGCCGCTTGTACGCCGCGGGCGGCGCGGAGTGGCCCGGCGGAGGGGGCGGAGAGGAGGAGGAGGAGGAGGAGGGGGCGAGCGACGCATTTGAGGCGTTTTGCCCGCGCACCGGCCGGTGGGAACGTCTCCCGCCGCTGCCTGCCGGTCGCGCGAATCTGGCGGTCGCGGTTGTGTTCTCGTGAAGCTGAAGGTGAGAGGTGTGGGGTGGACTGGCAAATAAATAAATAAAACGGGCAAACTCTGAGACGAGATGGGATTTAGGGACATGTGTGGAAGACTGGCAGCCTCTCAGTCGTAAATTCTTTTTTCCCTTTAGCGATCGACTGCGAGCTCTGTCTGGTATAGCCCCAGCCGACTCCGCGCTCTCGAGGGATCTCGAGTTGCGGAGCTCCCTGCTGCTCGGAGTACGAACTCTGTTCACACCGAGCAGCTGGGAGTCGCTGCGGCTATAGCAGCTGCGAGCTCAAGCACAAGCGTGGCGTTCGTATGCCGTCCCTCGCCGATCACCTCGCCTCCCTACTGCGCCTACTGTGGAAGGTGCTCATGGCTCCGCTCTGGTTCTTCGATCGCGTCGACAAGGAGAAGGCGGTCCTCGCGGTGCCGCCAGCAGTGCGCCGACGCATGCTCAAGCTCATGTTCGGGCCGACGCTCGCGTGGACGATGCTGCTGCACCGCGCGATGCCCGACCAGCGCCGCTGGTACGACCGTGTGGATGAGCGGCTCATCCTGGGCGCGCTGCCGCTCGAGAAGTCGCTCGAGAGCCTGGCGCGCGTCGAGCGCGTCTCGGGTGTCCTCAACATGTGCGACGAGTTTGACGGCCACGCGAGCTACGGCCGGCTCGGAATCACGCAGCTGAGGCTTCCGACGATGGACTACTGCTCGCCCTCCGCGCAGCAGGTGGAGAACGGCCTCGACTTCATCCGCAAGCAGCCCCCGGGAGGGACGGTGTACTGCCACTGCAAGGCGGGCCGTGGCCGTGCAGGCGCGCCCGTCCGCGCGGCCACCCGGACGCCTGGCGTTGCCGACCCGGCCCTCGCCGTCCCACCCGGACCCTGCCCCGCGCCCGTCCCCGGCCCGCCGCCGCTGTCTTGCAATCGTCTCCTGCCGCCGCCTCTCCCTCTCCCTCTCGCTCAACGGCCTACGCCCGCCCAGGCCCGCCACCCACGCCGCCGACGCACCGCCCCTCCATCGCGCAGGGACCATGGCCATGGCCTACCTCATCACCGAGAAGGGGATGACGCCGGCACAGGCGCAGGCGGAGCTACGGCGCATCCGGCCGCACGTCTCGCCGCGGCTCTGGCGCCGCCCGCTGCTCGAGAGGCGCCGGCCAATGGCGTGTCCCGTGACACGTGCTGCGACGTGCCGCGTAGGTCGCGTCCCACTGTGCGCGAGATGTACCGTCGAGCCACCTACCGGCGCATGCAGCCGCAAGAAGGGCAAATGCAGCAGCCGCAGCAGCAAGCGCCGCCACAACAGCAGGCGCCGCCGCAGCAGGCGCCGCTAGCGCAGCAGCAAGCGCCGCCGCCGCAGCCGATGACGGCGGGCGGGCAGTGGACCGGGGCGGTGGGCGGCGGTGATGGCGCAGCGGCGGCGGCTGGCGGCGCGCCTCAGCCGCCCCAGCCGGCGGGCGGCTTGTGGCCGGGGGGCGGCGAGAACTAGGCGCGGCCTTCGCGAGTGTGCGGTGTACGCGCGGCCGAAGCAGTGGGTGGCTGTTAGTCACGTCAGAGAGGACACACAGGGCATCTCACACTCTCGCCGTGTTTTCGTAGCTCCGCTTCCTCTCTCGCGCCGCGCCGACGGCCGCGGTGAGGGTGTAGAGAGGCGAGCGATTTGCTTTTTGTGAGACGCGGCTGTGAGACGGTCTTTTCTCGCAGCTGCGAGACATGCTTTCTCGGAGCGGCCGGGGCATCCAAAACAACAGGGCGGAAGGGAGGGGTGACCATACGCGCAGCGCAGGAGGGGTGCCCCTAAGGGGGCACAAAGGTAGCTCAAAGGGGAGTGAACAAGACGCCGCACAGGCGACGTGCACGCTCGCCGCCTGCGCTCGCCGCGTCGCTCTCTCCCTCCCCTTCTTTGCTTGAACTATCCTCTTCGAGCACCGAGCACGCAGCACGTTCCACGTTGCGCGAAGGCGCGAGTTTGGCAGGCGGAGGCCGGAGCCGCAGCCGGGACCGGCGGGAGCCGGAGGTGGCAGCAGCAGCACGCGCGTGTGGCGGGCGGCGGCAGAGCACAGGGGTCAGGGCGCGAGACCCCCCGGTCCCCGCGCGACACTTTCCAGCGTCCAGGATTGTTTCCCGGGAAGCCGCGGAATCTGGTCTCCGCCACGAGCACGACCCAGCGGTGTGCTATTTTTCGCTCAAATTGAGGACAGTTGCGTGGCCAGCGTCACAGACGCAAGGGCGACGAAGTGCGCGCGCAGAACTCGGCGCCGGTCAAATGACAGAGCTAGGACAGCTGCCGCTGCCGCGCCCGCGCCCTCGGCGGCGGCTGCAGAGCGCCACCGCGCGAGCATAGCCGCCAATCGCAAGCCGCGCTCACGCTCCGCCATGGAGCGGCGCGCGGCGCGAGCCGACGCGGCGCCGGACCAGTAGCGGAGCACCCGGCGCAAGCGGTGCCCCGCAGCGAGCCACCGCAGCATGACGGCGGACGCCGTGTAGCCACCCCACGCGCTCAACACGCGCTGCGCCAGCCGGCGGCGAGCAGCCCGCCTGCGAGCCAAGGCACACATCTCCAGACTGTTCACAATCTTGGGGGGGGGGGGGGGGGGCATGCTCCGCCTGTGGCCGTCGAGCGCGATCAAGTTGCGCCTCGCGCGTCGTATCGCACCTCGGGCCGCCACGGCCGCCGCGGCGTGCGACCGCAAGGCGCCGAACGCTGTGCGGCAACTCGTGCCCCGCAGCTGCAGCGCGGCGTCCCCCTCGCGCCGCCCCAACAGGGCCTCGCGCCACACCTCGGCGCGGCGGCGGGACACCGCCGCGCGCAAGCGCATCCATGCGCCATAGAGCGCGCACCTGCCAAGTACGTCACACGCGTAAGCAATCCTTAGTCACGCTCCCCCACTAGCCACAGAGAGCGCGCACTGCGTGGCCGCGAACACGCTCCGGTGCGCGTGGTAGGCGAAGCGCCGCCACCTCTCGAGGGACGCGGCGACGCACGCGGCAACCCGCCGCTGGGCCAGCGCCCAAGTGACGCGCCGCTGGCGGTGGAGCTGCAGTGTATGCACGGCCCTCCGCACGGCGGCCTCGCAGCGCGCGGTGGCAAGCTCGCCCGAGAGCCGCACGTGCTCGACCGAAGCTGCGGCGCGGCGTTCCGCACGCCGGAGAGCGCCGAACGCCTCGGCAGCGTGGCGGCGGCGCAACGCGGCGTCGTGTCGCTGCGCGGCGAGACTGCGGCGGCGCGACTGGGCGAGCTGCGCGAGCAGCGCGCGGTAGCACTGCAAGAGCAGCCTACAGTGCCGCAAGCACGCGCGTCCAGCAACGGTCCAGCGGCAGGAGAGCGCGCGGGAGTGCACAGCGACCTCCGTCGGCGGTGGTCGGTGGCAGCGCGGTTGCCCGCGAAGTCAACGGCAGTACGATGCGCGACTCCTCGCCACGCCAGCAGAGCCCGCATTTGCCTCCGCCGCGCCAGCTGGGCTCGCCCGAACGCCTACTCACGGGACCTCCGCACGGTCGGGTGCAACGGCGCAGAGGGAGCGGAACCCCCTTGAGTCGCCGAGCCAAAGCGTCGGCCGTGGAGCGCGAGGCGGAAGCGACGGCGCGCCACGCCGCGAGCGAGCGGCGCCGCCGCGCCAATTCTCCAAGCCCGACTGCAGCCACGGCGCGCCGCCCAAAAACAGCTTCAGACTGGCCGCGCCGGACAGCGCCGCGCAGCGTCGCCGCCCGCCGCCGCACAGCAGCGCCCGCCTGCCGGCGGCGGGTGGCGGCGGCTGCGGCGGCGACCCCACACCAGCGGCAGAACCAGCCTCGCCTTGCATGCAACGCCGCCGCGTCGCCGCGCCGCGCCGCCTCGCCCCTTCGCCCCGCCTCGCCACGCCACGCATCGACGGCGCGTGCGATGAGTCCGGACGCACGGCGCGCGGAGAGAAGCTCGATGCTACCCCTCCGCGCCAATGCGTGCCCGGTCGCACGCCGCCATGTGGCCAGCGCGCCGCCGCTGGCAGCCGCCGCGTGGTGTGCGCGCGCAACGGACGCGCTGTGCGCCTCGGCGGCGCAATCCACCCAATAGCGCAAAGCGCGCGCCTACAGCAGCCACGCCACGCGCAGGTCACCTGGAGGAGGGTTGAAGGCGCGGAGGCGTAGTGCGAGGGAGCTCCTTGAGCTTGTGCGCCCTGCAAGCCATTAAGTGCGCCACTAGAGACTCGACCTCCGCAGAGCGCTGCTGCCGCCGCCTGGACGCGTCGTAAGCCTCCCGAAGCCGCCCACTCTCCCTCGCCCCACGCACCCTCCGCCCGCGCACTCCCGCTCCCTCCTCCCCCGCCGCCCTCGCGGCACCGAACCACAGCGCAAATGCGGTCGCGAGGCGCGCGCCGCGCGCGTGCGACCGCGCCCGCCTCGCCCGGTGCTGCGACCGCCGGTGGTTGGCTGCCAGCCCCCGCCAAGCCGCAAGGGACGCGAGCGCCTGAGGCAGACGTCTCACGGACAGGTCAGGGGCACGTCTCCTCCTCTGCCAAGCCACAGGAGAGCGGCAGGCCGTGGCGAAGGCGAGCCGAGCCCGACTCTGGTGCACAGCGCGCAGCATCGCCGTGTGAGCGGCCCACGAGGCCAGCGCATCGGCGCACCGGCGCGTCGGCAAACGGCGCGCCGCGACGGCTGCGGCGCGAGAGAGCGCCTCGAGGCGGATCGCACCGGTCCGCCAGAATGCCAGGGCCGCGGCGGAGTCGGCGCGGCGCCGCGTTCGCAGCAGGAGGGCAGCCGACCTCGACTCGGCTGCGCGCGCCGTCCAGAGAGCCCAGACCGGCCGGGCCGCCGACACCGCCCGCCGCCTCCGGGCAGAGCCCAGCTTCCTGGCCACCTCCGCCGCCGCCGCCTCCTCCGCCGCCCAGCTTTGGAAGGCGGCTCTGCTCCGGGCGCGACGAGCGTGCGCCTCGCCTCGAGCCGCAGACAGCGAGGCGGCGAGTCGCAGCAGTGTGGCCTCCCGCCACGCCGCGAGGGCACGCCGCTGCTGCGCGCGACTCGCCCGCAGCTGCGCGCTCGCCGCCCGGGCGGCCAACTCGGCGGCGGCGCGCCAGACGGTGACAGCGACGCGGCGCCGGCGCGCGTGGAGCGCCCGCCTAAATTCGCCGAGGTTCGCCGAGATGTGTCCAGAGTTGTCGAGGTGGAGCCGAGGTGGCTCGGAGGTGGCTCGGAGGTGGCTCGGAGGTTGGTCGCCTGAGCACGCGCCACGCGGCGGCCACCTCGCGGCGGGCGGCGGCGTGCTCGCTCCAGCGGCGCAAGCCTCGCATGCGCAGTCTGCGAGTGCGTGCGGCGCCCAGGGTGGTGAGGATAGTGCCGGGGGCGGGGAGGGTGGCGGGGAGGGTGGGAGGGGGTGGGAGAGGGTGGGAGAGGGTGGGGGGGGGCTAGGCGGAGTGCACCGGTGCTCGAGGTGGCGGATGGCGGGCCGCAGCAGCCCTCGCCGCAAGGCTCGCGCGGTCGCGTGTGCACGAGCCAGCGCGAGGCACGCGGCGAGTCGGCGCCGCCTCCCTGCCGCCGCGGCGGTGCGCTCCGCGCCTCTCCGCTGGGCGAAGCCTTGCCTGTGGGGTGCGGCGGGCACGGCTTGGCCGGGGCGCGGGGTGGACGGGGGCGGGGTGGGGCGGGGCGGCGGGCGGGGCGGCGGCGGCGTGACTCGCCACGTCGAGAAGGCAGCGGCCGGGTGCATGTGGGAGAGGAGAGGCCCCAGCGAGGGCAGGACGAGACGACAAGGCGTGCTCCGCGCGGGAGGCGAGCCCGCCGCCTCTGCCGCCGCTGGCAGAGGTGCCGCCTCCGCCGCTGCCAGCGTCGCCGCTTCCACCGCCGCTACCAGCGTCGCCGCTTCCGCCCTCGCCGCTGCCGCAGCCCCCGCCCTCGCCGCCTCTTCTCTCGCCGCCGCCGCCGCCGCTACCGCCGCCGCCGCCTCCGCCGCCACCGCCGCCTCCGCCGCCTCCGCCGCCACCGCCGCCTCCGCCGCCTCCGCCCTCGCCGCCTCCACTGCCGCCTCCCTCTCCGCCACCTCCCTCGCCACCTGCTCCCTCGCCGCTGCCTCACTCGCCGCCGCCTCCCTCGCCGCCGCCTCCCTCGCCGCCGCCTCCCTCGCCGCCTTGGCCCCCGCCCGTGCCTCCTCCTCCCTCGCCGCCCTCGCCGCCTCCTCCGATGCGAGTGCCTCCGCCTCCCTCCTCCTCGCCCTCGCCTCCTCCTGCGCCCGCTCCGCCGCCGCCAAGATTCGCGCGTCGCGCGCGGCCGCCGCTGCGCGCCGCCTCTCGTTCGACTCCTTGGTCGCGAGTGCGCGCGCCGCCGCCTCACTCGACCGCTTCGCCTGCAGCACCAACGCACCAACGCCTCGGCCGTGAGCTGCGGTGGACTAGACGAGCAGCGCGAGTTTCGAGGGCGCTCGCTCGCCTTTTCCGCCTCCGCAGCCTCCCTCGCCGCCGCAGCCTCCCTCGCCGCCCTCGCCTTGGACGCGGCGGCGCGGCGGGCTGCCGCTCGTCTCGCCGCCGCGGCAGCCTCCTCCCTCGCCGCAGCATCCCGATCCGCCATCGCCGACCAAGCGGGAGCAGCAGCGGCGTCAGTCTCGGGCGGAGCAACGGCAGGCCCGTGAGTCACAGCGTGAGGAGCCAAAGCGTCGGCAATCTGCGTAGCGCTGGCGGTGCAGGCGGCGCTGGTCGCAGCGGTGCGCCGGCGATCGTCTGCGGCGACGGCTCGCCAGGCGTCAAAGCTCAGCGCACGTAGCCGCGCAGCCGCGTATGCCACCACCTCCTCCACGCTCAGCTCGACTCCGCGCCCACACAGCGGACGGCCGGGCGGGCTAGGCTCGCCTCGCAGCCCAAGCAGAACCGCCTCCGCCGCCTGGCCAGAAGAGAGGGCGGTGAGTCTTACTTTGAGCCGTGGCGATGACGAGCTACCGACGGCGCGTGGTTGCCTCGCCGGTAGCGAGGCACGACATGGAGCAGAGCGAGAGCAGAGTCGGCCATTCGAAGTCGCGACGAAAGAAGCGAGACCGTGGGGCAGAAAGCGCACGCGTGGGACACGAGAAGACAGTGAGCCAACCCTGGCGAGTAGAGACCACGCCTCACTTTTTCACAGGGGGGGATCCGTCTGGAAAAAGGATGCTTTTCGCTGCGCATGCTCGAGCCCCCGGCGAGGGCTTGTGCTGTGAATAGCAGGCGTGGTCTCTACTCGCCAGGAGCCAACCGGCGTCGTTGGCGCACCTACTGAGCGGCAAATGCGCAGGAAATAAGGAAAGGCGCGTTACTTCATGCGGAAGCTTGACAAACACAAGACGCCCCTCCTCAAGACCTCCTCGACGGGCGTTGGCAACGCCTCGAGTGGCGGCACGCCCGCCTCCGTCGGCCACTCCTACGCCTTCGGCAACACCGAGGAGAAGGCCCGCCGCCTGAACATGGGCTGCAAGGCGCGCGGGCAGCCCAGCCAACCCTTCTCCCACAAGACCGGCCACGGCTACGTCAAGGCGCATCGCGGTTTCTACCACGACGCGATCTTTGTCAAGCGCAACAACTTCAACCTGCTGCTCCACGAGACGTTCGGCGGCGGCTTCTCGCCCACCGCCGTTCTCAAGCTGCGCCGCCTCGCGCGCAAAGTCGCGCGCGGCAGCGTTGACCGCACGGCCTACTCGCCCAAGCACTCGCTCTCTTTTATGTCCACCATGCAGAGCGCATCTCTCTCTCTGTTGTGCGAGGCGTGAACCGCGCCATTCGCTCTCACCTGGCAACCCTGTCTGCACGTCTCGCGCGCGCGTGAACAGGGCTCCAGGCCCCAAATGACGTGTGAGTGTTAGAGTTGTTTGGTATTGCTAAAAATCTCTCTCTCTCTCTCAAACACACGGCGAGGGCGACAGCAAGAAAGAAAGAGTCGAACGAACGGGCGACGCTTGGCCTTTATACGCTTTTCTCGCCGAGTACTATCTATATTCTTTTTGCGTATTCTTTCCGTATTCTTGTCCAAAATAGGGTCTATATTCTCGAATATGGCAAGAATATGGCTCCAAATAGGGGCCTATCTAAATTCTCGAATATTCTTTATATTCCGGCTGAAAATCGCAAGAAATCACGACTCTCACAGTGATTTGGGCTCGGCAGCTTGTCAGCCCTCAGCCGAAGCTGGGGCCGGTCCCGTAGCCGAGAGAGCCCGCGCCGATGAGTTCGACGCGGTCGGGGGGGCCTGCGGAGAGGCCAGCGAGAAGGCGATCGCTGTACTTCATGGTTGGTGTCATCAAGTGACGGGCTGACAAGCCAGAGGTTGGTTAATAAAAATCTCTCTCAAAATCGTTTCGAAAAAGAATATAGAACATGAAGAAAAGCGTATAAAGGCCAAGGCGGCGCCTGAACACCAAAGACACAGCTATATTCCTGAGACGAGCGAGGGCAGCCTCCTTAAAAGCAATGGGGTCTAGATTTGGAGCGCTCGCCGAAGAGGAGTATGACAGAATAGCGCCCGTGATTGCCTGCACGCTGCCCGCACTCACGGACTCCATATACCCGAAAGAAAGAGAGGGGCCGTTGCAGGAGAGGTGACGAGGGAACTGCAGGTAGTTGGCAAGGCAGCTTCGATCGCCATCCTGACATGGCTCATGGGTGCGAAACAACGACAAGACCGAGGCACGGGCAGAGGAGCGAGAGAAGAATATAGGGGTGGATAAAGCGCCACCCTGTTCACGGCATGGAGGGTGAGCCACGCCGAACGTGTACTGAACGTAGAGCCGAACGGAAGGAAGCCGGGGAAGACGAACCAGAGGAGGACGAAACACCTGTGGTAATCCCGTCGACTCGTCAGCTGTCACGATGCACCCGAAGGGGACCCCACAGCGCCAACACCATCTGTGGAGAGGTACAAGTGCTCGAAACGAGAGTGGACCTGAGCAACGACATGACTTGGCGGGGCAAATGATTGGGGTGGGTGTCAGAAGAGTCGTCCTTGCGCGAGGAGAGCTTGATAAACTCGAGGGGCCAAAATACGCCGCGAGGAGGGCGGAGTTGCGCCGCGCGAGAAGAAGCCGCGAGAGCAAGGGATCGGCCGGGGCAGCGGCGGCGCAGCAGGACGAGGTAGAGGAGAGCGACGCGACAGAGGATGAAGCGGCAGGAGGGAGAACGACGAGAGTGGGGCGACCGCGACGTGGCATAAAGGTTGCAGCGAGAATCGGCGAGGGACTGCCTTAGGGACTGCGAAGGGAGATAGAAAGAGGCAGACGCCCAAGGGTTGGGTGGGCGACGGCTAGCACCACACTCCTCTCCTTAAAATCCCTGTGTGGTGGCGGCGTGCCGTCCTCCCATCCCTCCCTTGGATGGTCTGTTTTCTTTCTTTCTTAAAGCGGACGGCAAGCGATCCCACGACAGACAGCGAGTGTGGGGACTACATGATCCGCACACAAGAAGACAACGCAGTAAGTCTCTCTCACATTACAAGGACATTCTACAACAGTGAAAAACATGAGCGGTTAGGTTAGGTTAGGTAGGAAGGTGAAGAACAGCCAGGCTCGGACTGGACATCAACGCGGTATGGGTGGACGCTAGACAGATGATGACGACACGCACGAGCGACGGAGCGACACACAGACACAAACAGGCTGCTCACAAGACACACAGCCAGCGTAGCAGCCTCACACCCTCAGGTAGGTAGGTAGAAAGGTGAAGAACAGCCAGGCTCGGACTGGACCCTCAGGCGAGAAGAAAAGCGGGGGGGGAAGCGGGGAAGAAATCGCGTCCCGAGATGAACACACACTGGCAATCGGCTGTGGACATCGTCAGGCCTCTCAAGAGCATCTGCGGAACCATTTTCTTGTCGTCGCGCTGCCGGAGAGTCACCATGTTCTCTCGGAGAGTCAAGGCGCGGAGAGCCCGCGGCGCCTCCCAGCCGCAAGCCAGGGCCAGTGCACATCACCGGCCGCCGCCACGTCCACCCGTGCTGCCTTTGCCGATCCCTCTGCCGCCTCCAGCCCCATCGTCCGAGTCAGCCGGCCGTAGTCGCCCATCCCCCACCTGAGCCGTCAGCGCCTCCAGCCCCGCGAATCCGTGCATGAGATGGCGAGATCGCCGCCCATGCCGCTCTCCGACCGCGCCGCCTCGCCACCACCAGGCGGCCGCGACACGCGGAGTCAGCTTTGGCGCCTCGAGCCTTCAGGGCCGGCGGCCGTCGCAGGAGGATCGCTATACTACTATTGAGCAGCTGGCGCCCGGCTGCGGGTTTTACGCCGTGTACGACGGCCACGGGGGAGAGGTGTGCACTCGCGCACGGCCCACAGCCCGCGCCTTCCGCACACCCTCCACACCCTCCACCGCACACCCACACGCGCACGCGCGCGCGCGCGCGCTCGAGCGGCTCTCTGAGCAACGTCCGGGCGGTCGGGGCTTGGCCGGATCCGAGGCGCCAGAAAGCGCGGCTCGATTCCAGCGCTGCGCTGCCCACCCGCCTGCACCCACGACCGTTGCACACCCGCCCACCGGCCTTTGCGACTCGCAGAGGGGCGTGGTTGGTGCGGGGGGAAGCATTCGGGCGGTCGCAGAGTGCCGGTCCGGGTTTCGCGGCTCAGACGCACCCCGCAGCGCGCGCGACGCCTCCTCCACGCGCGCGCGCACACGCGCGACACCACCCGCCAGCCGGTGTCGTCCAGCGCAGCCTGCGGCGGGACGAACTCACCAGCACCGCCGCCCCACGACTCGCAGCGGGCGGCCGTCTTCGCTTCGGCCGCGATGCAGGCGCGGCTGCAGGCCTCGCCGGGGTTTGGGAAGCGCGACTACGCCGCCGGGTTGCTGCAAGCCTTCAGCGAGGCGCGCTCCCCCTCTCTCGGTCGGGCCCGCTGTCG